GCAAAAACTTCACACCGACGAATAGTCCTCCACTGTCACCGAGAAGGGGACATGGTACTGGACCACTGGACGAAGCAGCCAAACGTCAAACTAAATACCTCATACAGGTAGGTTTTCGGAATAGTTTTCAGAGAACACATTAACATATGCACAACCTTCAATTCCAGCCATCACCGGACGGAAGTCATCGACCTAAACCGGCATTCCGGAAGGAACGAAAACCGCCTAGCGGTGGTTTTTACCCACATGCTCCGAACGCTGTGAAGGTTCGTTGCTCAGTCTACCCTAATAGGTAACCATACTACAGCGCACACAATTCAACGAGACAAAGACCGCATCATGCCAGAAAAACTCAAAACAACAGAAAAATTCAAAACTTCCTACGTGCGACTGTTAAGGCCTTTCAGGCTAGAAAATGGGTTTGGCCTATTCTGGGTAAATATACCTTTGATATGTCATAAATCCCTAAGGGGGACATGGGGCATTTAACCCGGGTACAACTTCCTTGAGAGCAGCTAACGTATAACACAATCTCACACACAAATGTATGAAATTCAGATTGTGAAACGTCGACCGGCATCAGCTCAGGGCCTCTTAGCCCCTGTAGATGATGGAGGGCAAGAGCAAATCGAAGTGATACACCAGCGGAACTACCACAAACTCGAACGAGGCACGTATTTTGAACAATCTTTGAGATAGAGGAGTTCAGTAATCATCTTGCATTTCAGGTTATCGAGATACGCCTTCTCAAGCAAGAGAACGGAGCGGTCGACGGAGCGCTGGAGGACGATCTGAGCCAGGTGAGATTCCCTTCGATCTTTATCTGACAGTAGCTGTTGTAAAATGACGTAGTAAGCGAATCCAATAGCTTTGAAATTAAGCCATAAACGACTGGGAGAAAATCTACGAGCTACCTCCACACTCCTCAACGATCGTTGGTAAAGACGTACCAACAAATATCGATGTCAAACGGCGGCTTTCGAATTTCCAAGGATCCGTTCAGAGCCTCCAACGACGACAAGAAAGCGCTCAACGATCATACAGCGTCGACAGTGTAAGCTGCTTTGGTTTCCTATGGTCTTCATCTAACCCATCAACGGAGATCACGCTGGCCTTCGGGATTAAGACCGCCCTATTTCACAGAGTCAGGCGCTATCCAGCAGCCACTTCCATTACTTTCGCCTGAAATAATATGGCATAGGTACTCATTTCGATTCGAAGAATGTTTTCTCAGAGCACCTCCAGTTTTTTTTTCATTTATTGGGCCTGTACTTCGTTCAAAAGCAAATTCAATGATGGATTCAAGTGTATCAACCCCTCTTGTGAGCTAGAGCTATCTGTAGGGATCCGAGTTGCGACGTTTTCAAGGCTCAAGATGCGCGAAAGACCACTAAGCCTATATCATCGTACAGCACGCAGGCGCTGTCTGTGACTCGCAAAGCACAGGCGCGAGGTTGTGCTGTGTCCGCCGCGTACATTGTGGATTCCGACAAACCCAATAGCTCTTAACAGGTTCCGCGTTCTATTGCACCTCAAAAACACGCATCATCAAATAGCAAGGTCATCAAGTCAAGAAGATTTTTTTGGGCAATTTCTATCCTCTCTATCTTTTCATGAGGCTTTCCGCTTCTCTCTCTCGAGCGAGACAACGGGAAGTGGTCACATATTGAGCTCTTGGATTAGTAACGTGGAAAGCACGTGTGGCGCAACACCAGCAGTAGACCGATTAGCAGGGTCTACGGACAACTTGAACTTGGTTCTTTGAACCATCTCGATTTGGTGCTCTCCCTGCGCTCTCTCTTACGAGCTGTCACCTAAACTAATGGTGGCCGTCGATGCCCTCCTTCTGCGCTTGTAATTTGATTTACCAACCCTGCAGACCGCCCTCCCTCGAAGGCTCAGTCTTAAAGCTCTCAACTTCCTCCTTTAATTTGGAGGCGAACCAGGCGCCGTTCTTCTTGATCTGTATTCTGCAGCAAGGAGGCACGCACTCTGTAAGGGGGGGGGCACTAAAACAAAGAATTTTGTTCGCACTTTCAGATGTTATTAAATCGATTCACGAAATTGCGTAAGAGCTTCAGGCTGAAGCTCTTACGGTAGACCTCCTTGAGCCTGACGACGGTGACAGATGACGTCATATTCTGAAGACGGTGAGGGCAGTGAAGGAGGGCCTGCGTTCACTTATAGAGGGACACTTAGGGAATACTCTGCTGAGGAACTCCCGTCAACGACGGCAATCTCTGCGAAGAAAAAAGGGCCGAAGTCCGACATAGGCAAAATGTCTTTTTTTTTGCCCCCCCCCTGTACTAAAAGCAAATCGCCTATAACGCGCGTAGCCCTACGCTATAATTCCATTGTGTAGTGGTGTTGTAGCCTCGACAGCTAGTGGCAACATTCTCACTGCTGTGATATTGTGATATGAAGTAGGCCTAGAGACGCACTGAAATTATTGCTCTGGGGCAATGAAATGATTCACAGGCTCAAAAACATCAATCCATCAAAAAAAACAAATCGAAATCTCTAAATCCTTTCAAATAAAATAATTTCGCTAGCTGAGGCAGCTGCTAGCCGTGGAGAAATAAATGGACTGTACAATAGCAGTGGTATTGCTATCCACAACTGGCTGTTCGCACTCCCAAACGGCACAGCACAATACCCAACCTTTGTTTTGCTTGAATACCTTGTGTGTGTGTGACTGCGTGGTTCAAACGCAGCTTTCAGTCTCTTCCCTACGGCTCTATCCACGACATGTCCAGTCCACCAGCGTCATTCATCAATCAGAAAGAGCTCACAGCTCTAAGCGAAGGGACGCAGGCTCTCGTCAACACCAACAGGTTTCTTTCTCATTGTAAGCCGCAATCTGATCTGATCAGGATCACTACGAAGTAGGCCGTGAAATTGGTGGATGAAAACAGAATGACATACTACGATTTCAAAAATAAAGCGCTGAAATGAAAACGAATTCTTGAGGGAAAGACATTATTTTATCTAAGAGCTCCGGTCAGGGATTTTTCGGCCAGTTGGGGTGTCGTGGTTGCAGAACAGGGCGCTATCGCAAAATACGGGACCTTGGCTGGCAGTGCATTTGAAATGGCGTAGAACATCTCCTTTTGTTAAGAACAGGACCAAGCCTTGGACGGGGAGAACAGACTCTAGGGTGCGTGAGCAGTTCCCATTTTTCACAGAGTTCCTACCCCTTTCTAGGGTTAGTTCTAGAAGATGCCCCCGTATCTTGCGATAGCACCCAGAACTGCTGTGAAGTCAGCATCCAGTCACCAAAAACAGATTAGCAGGCCAAAATGCAACGATCTTAATGTGATAATAATATGATCAGTTTCAGCAGCGTCGTCAGCATCAGGAACATCCAAGCACCTCACTGTCGCAGAGTCGTTCACCGTCTACAGTCGCCTTGTCCCCATCATCACGTACGAACACACCAACGGCTATTCGTGTTCGCACGAAGATAGGGCAAGTGACAGCTCCCGGTCCTTCCCCGGCGTCCTACGAAAGGGCTCGTGCACATCTGCCTCGGCCTCTCCCTCCTGGATACAGGGTAAGTGGAGTTTTTGGACAACCACCTCCGCGAGTAGCACAATCATTCCACTGTAAAATAAACCTGCGAAAAGAAGTGATCCAAAAGAGAGGTTTCCCAAAGAAACACAAAAGAGTGAAGTAGAAAATCGTTTCGAAGTTTTCCCACGCGTATTTCGATGAATTTACTGTACATGGCTGCTCTGCACACCGGTATACGGTCGTAATGCAACCGATACTCATAAAACGATGGGAAATGCTAAGGATAGCTCTCAAAGAAAGAATGTATAATGAGTGAGAAGCAGTCGATGCGACGCTATGGGCAATGTTTCCTTCCTTTTCTGTCGACTCTAACGGAACACAACAGCAGCAACGCGACTGGACCATTTTTGACACACTCCAGTCTTGATGATTTTTTTTACCTTAAAGGCAGATGGTACGACAATTAGGTTCAATGTAATAATGTAAGTTAGTGATGGTAAATAAGCAGTAATAAAGAAGAAACCAAGAGAAACGGCCCGAAACACGGACCGGAAAAGGGTCGAATTGTTCCACCACTGATTCGGGTTTTGAGCCGTTTCTTTTGGTCTTCGTTTTTGACGAGCCAGTGACGACGACAGAGTTTGTTGGGCCGTGTTAACCCGGATGGCCGGCGATGGATGGCCGATTAATAAAAGCGATAAATTGCGAAGCGATTCTGCAATCACGCGATAGCAGAATATAGCTGCTTGAAGTGGAATACCCTTCAAAATGAAGAAGCGACCGATGATGGTAAAGTAACAGCATGCAGGGTACCCGACAGGAGGCCCGTCGCGCGGCAACAAGGAGCAGAGTCAGCGGACGAGTCGCAGCGCGTACTGTAGTGATTTCGCTAAATAGAATGTACCATTGTACGTCCTACATCGCACATCACGCGCTGCGACTCGTCCGCTGACTCTGCCTTCTTGCCGCGCGACGGGCCTCCTGTCGGTACCCGCACGCTGCATGCTTCCGTTTTCATTCAGCCACCTAAAAGCGGGGCTTCCCGAGGCGGTCACCACGGATAGGGCCCTGTAAGGCCGCTAGTAGCACTTACTTCACAGAGAAAACGCCCTAGGTACCATTAGGACCTAGTCTCCTTTTTCAGTAGGTACATTTCCCTCTCTTCAACAGTCAAATTATCGTACTATTTTCCTCTGAGTCTTTGAGCTTGGCTTTGTTTTTGTACAGATATTTTCAGAGCTTCACTAGTTTCACAATAAAATGTTGCGTTTTTCAGCTCGGCGATCCACAGCCCGATCCGAGGGCTCTGTCCCCAGCACCGGGCCATACAAAGCGGATGATACGTAATATGACTGAATCCGCTCAACGTTTAGACCCTCAGCACAATAGCTTCCAACCGATTCGTGATCGTAGACTAAGTCCCGGCTCACAATACCTTTGATAATGCCGCAGCACTAGCATAACCCTGTTGAAATCTCTATAAAAACCTCGCGACCCTCTGCGACTATTCGTACACTTTGGTGCTGCTCCCTGTTTCTTTGTTATCATCCATGTCATTTTATGATAGATTATCGCATTTTACCGTCTTTTCACTAGTAGATTCAGTTACTTTCATATGTGCTATACTATTGATTGTTAGAGATTATTGATTGATTATTGATTGTTCTGTGTCTGTAAGTGCGTGTGTGCGCTCGTTCTGTGCGTGTGTGTGTGGATTGATGCAGCCCTGAATTAAATGTTTTACTGCTCCCACTGCTACTACATGTGTGGACTCCGTGTGTTGCTTCCCAGTCTCGCTTGATCATCAGGTGACGATTTGTCAAAATTCACCAACATTTTCAGGTTTTTCAGGGGTCAGAGGTCTTACTTATTAGTTATATGTGTTCAGTGTTCTATATGGCGCACACTAGATGTATATGGTGATAATTAATGCTATTTTCAGGCTGCTACTCAACCGCCAAAGGTATGCGCTCTACTCGTAGTTTGTGTTATATGTATGTATGTTGTCCCACGTCTACAATGTGATCTAACTTTCGGAAAAGAGACGTGCGGGTGGCTGAGAACAAGTGAAATGCTTAGCATTTGCAAGCATTCTAATCTTTAGTATTTGAAGGGATGTTCGGAAAAAGTTGCTTTCTCCTTGATTTATTCTTGACACAACTGAACCGATGAATGCATGCATGGCGCGACCGTACAGGAGTTGCGAGGAATTCCCATAGCAATGTCAAAATTCCCAAGGTTCCGAGGCCAAATGCATAAATTGCCGAACTGTAACAGGCAGTCACTTCGCGACGTCGGGCCTGCTGCAGTGCAAAGTAACCCCATATCTTGGGAGTTGTGCCACAAAGGTGCATCCTTTATTGCGACCAACATCGGTGGGCGCAACCACCGCATCCATAAAAAGACCTGAATAAGGCAGAACTCACATTAGCATAAGTATAACATGTTGAATAATATATTTATTATGCGCATTCAATCACCACCACTTCTGGTCTCCTTCGTCCACCTCGCTCAGAGTTAACTCTGCCAGCCACTGCACGTCAGCTGGCACTGAATCCAGACTTCTATCCCCACCCGGGACCATTTATCTGGGTCTTGATGGTCAAGGTGTCCTCTCAGGAGTAATATGACAGGCTGCTCCCAGACAGGGAGCACGAGTGCAACCACGGCCGCCTTTACGGTGGGCGCTCAGTCGAGTTAGACTCTGGGGAAATGCCTTGAATCGGCCTCCTCGTGCTGCCCCATGAAGAGCGGCCTACCACCGGCTACCAGAATTGGACGCAATGTCGTACATTTCTGAGCAGTAGGACCTCAGCTATTAGGAGTTGAAACCAATGCCTAACTTACCTGACAGTTGGGTTGGTAGCAGCCGCTCCGACGCTATATGTAGGCCGAAATGCCCTGCGCACTCGACCGTGGAGGCAAGTCAAGTGACGCAGTGACGCGAATGCGCAGCGACTTCGCAGCGCCAAAAACCCCGTATGCGTGCCATCCCGGTTTCGTGTATACATTCATACCACAATCGACATGGTACAGTACGCAAACAATGCAACCTGATCAAGTTACTGGCATTCCCACACGCGCAGGACTTATTGCTTCTACTTCCATATACAGCATCGCCTTCCTAACACATCCCATACTCGCTGGCTCATCATGTCTACCCCAACCTAACTTCGTGAAGGCACCTCAGGTGTCAAACGCCTCTTCGGACCAATCCCTACCTCATCTGCAACCGGAACCCACCTCAGTTACCCTATGGGACATATCCATAATCGCAGCTCTTTTAGTAGATTGGCTCTTAAGAGCAAACTTTTGTGAACTGGGGAGGCTGCCGTTCTTTCTGCGTCAGTTGCCTAACTAGAAAAGTCACCTATCACTCAACAATTTTCTGTAATCTCATCAATGTTAAGGGTGTCGCTATTTTTGTATTCCTTTTGCGATTGAGCTATCCACAACTCGTCCAAAAGACGTTGACGCATAACACTTCTTCTCCTGCCCCAGCCCGCGCGTCTCTGCTCCGAGACGTGTGCAGAGTGCGTGTGTGTTTCTTGACAAGTAGTCAGTCGCTTCGCTTTCAATCGCACCTCTAGAACGAAGATTTGGATGAGTTGGCCCGGAAGAGTGAACAGCTGCTGGAAAGATCGCGAGAGCGTCGAGCTGGCTACAAGCTCATCGACTCGGAAATCGTCAAAGAGGGACCCGAACCAGTCCCTCAGGCATTCAAAGTGAGTACTTTGAATTTTTGCCAGAAATAATTCATTTCTTCTGCATGGCCCCAAAATTGTAAAACGGCGGTGTCTCAGAACGGCGGCTGCTACGTTGCGTCACAGGCCGCTTGCTTTGCATCAGTTAAAATCAGCATTATTCCCAACAGCACAAACTCCCCAAGCCAAGCCGCATTGCATGATTATTATCGCTGGAAAAAGCAGAGTGCAATGAGGACAAATTGTCACGAAAAAGCAAAAGAACATCTAAAAGCACTGAATTTCTCATATGAGCCGGGGTATGACGGAGAGACACAGCGCTGCGAGGAGAGGGAAAACGCGAGATAGTACTTGTACGCAAGAGAGCGCAGCGCAGAGACCACGTGTGCCGTGCTTGGTAAAGATGGCAGCACATCAACACACAAAGCAAGTTCTTGTCAAGCCGTTTCCATTGCACTTGATCGGCACCATTGCGGTCGCCCTGGACGCCCTCTTCTCACTCTAACGAAAGACCTAACTTTTGAGACCCTAGTCCCGACCTGGCTAATTGCTAAAAATTAGAAATCATTATATATATTGGCAACCACTGAAAGCCAAAAATGTAAACGAAGATCGTGATAAAATTATATAATTATAAGACCGTTCCAACGAAGCACTCATAGACAACTCTTAGCGCTGACCGAGGACCCCTTGATTTTCGAAGAAGCAGTTAACACATGCGTACCCGCGCTGCGCCACCCACGTGCCACCACGCGTAGCACCCGCGGCCCACCCGCTGCCCAGCACAAGGACCGTTCCGGTACGCAGTGTTTAATAGCCCACTCCCATGCCCATACTTGAAAATTTAAAGCAGTCCCACGTCAACCGTGACATTACTTGGGTTGTAATAGCACTGGAAAATCATCAGTCTTAAAACTGGGTAGAAAAACTACAAACACTCCTAGCTCATTAAGACGTTCGTTTCAGGACCACGTTCGCGATATGCTCGAGTCGCGAAACTCGCTCGAAACGTCGACGACGCGGGAGCATGATCGTTCCGGATATGTCACGGTATTGCAAGCTGTTGCTTTGCGGCCTAGTTAGCGTGCGAGTGACCTAACCCTTACCTACGTTTTCGACCGACTTTCTGCACGGACGACTTAGTCGTTCCCGCTGAAAGCCAGTCCCACCGTACGGAATGTGTGTGCTTCCCTGATCACTACTAACACACCTTTGCAGGATGTTTCAACAGCAACTTGGCAATTCTCAACGCAGTCGTTCTCTCCGCGATCCGTTGTGTCAGTGAATGGAGCCAGAGACGATATCCTCAAGGTCTGCTCGCTAGATTTCCTTTTCCAGCTAACAGCTAGAAGTAGAGCTAGTTCTCTTAACGTATCATCGCTACTAACATCATTTTTCCTGCCTAATCGCAAAATAACGACTTTGCTTATGCTTTCGGCGCTTCGCTTTCAGAGGGATAAAGCTTGGCCACATGTGGCTCGACAATCCACATCTGTGGCTGATGATTCTGGACAATCTATACGTGAACTACAGGAGAGCTACGATCGAAAAGTGGAGCGATTTTCTTCGATGCCGATGTTGCATGCGACGGATCGCACCTTCATACGAGTGAAGGCCCGTTTGACGTGAACATCTAACTGAGAAGGATGAGCTCATTAACGCTTTCCTCTTCCTTAGGACCGCCAGCATTTCCTAGATGTTCAGATCTATTTATAGGATGATAAACCGAGGAGCATTATGAAGCGACGAGAACTCGAAACTAGAGATCAGATGCTGCATCCATCAGCTGACAATCAACTGATCGAACAGAGACAGTATCATCGTACGCAGAGTAACGTCAGTAACAAGGTTGGTTTTGGTGCACTCGGCGCTCTCTCGAGCGAGAATATGGTACAAAACTTGAACATTCGCAGCTTTTCACGCAATTCAAGAAACGCCCCTCACTCCGCCCCCCCCGCCTCGCCCTAAGTTGCCTTACACTCCCTGGGTCATGGGATGTTCCCGATTTCCGGCTAGAAGTACGCAAGCATGTCATTCGATCAGAGGGCCACGTGGTCTCCCAACCTACTTAGCACCTTTCCTGTATCTAGATGACTCACGGACGTCCCCTGGACGTTCCTTGATAATGAGAAATTTCCAGCCATTTGTCACTGGGAGGGTGCAACGTTTTGAAGGGACAAAACGGTTCTCCCTGGGTGCTAACTTAGTTGGGGGGGGGGGACCACGCGGCGGCGCGGCAGTCTGCTCACCTGGGCTCTCTCGAGCGAGACAGTGTAAACTCGAACATTCCAGCTTTTCACGCATGTCAAGTGACTGCCCCCACCCCCCCCCCTAGACTGCCTACACTCCCCCTGGCTCACGGATTTCCCGAAGTACGCAAACCGCCGCGTGGTCTCCCAACTTACTTAGCACCTTTCCTGTATCTAAATGACTCACGGACTTCCAGGTTCCTTTATAATGAGAAATTTCCAGCCATCTGTCACTGAGACGGTGCAGCGTTTTGAAGAGACACGTCGCACGGAAGAAGTCGAGCGACGTGTTCAACGCAAAGAACGTCGTGATCGTCGTTCCAGGCATCATTCTTCATCACGCCATCATGGCTCCCATGGATGGGAGAATGGCTACAGCTCAGGTTAGCACACATTTCATTTTCGCACATCGCCGAGAAAGGGTCTTTCGAAACATTGTCACCTCATGCAATTGCGGCCACGCATTGTGGGTTGTGGATGGGTCT